GTTGTTGAAAATTTTTAGAAAAGCTTTAGAAAGAATTGCAATACTAGATTTAATCATTTCGTTTCTGATTTTGTCGTTATAGACAGCTTTTTTGCATTTTAACTTTTTAGCTTCTTTTAGTAGTTCATCTTCTGTGATGACGTAATCAAGTTCAGTTAAGTTGTCTTTGATTTTTTCATAGCTTTTCAGGCATTCAACGATTTCGTTTTGTTCCCTGTTTAATTGATGTTCTGAATGAAGTGTTTCAAAATGATTCAGCCAGTCACTTGGTTGTGTGCTTTTCTTGGTTTCATTATTGAATAAAACAATAACTAAGGAGTTCAGAGTTTTTAAAATTTACTCCTAACAGCCGTTGATATGGCAAAAATGACGTTTCAATATGGCCAATGTTTTTGGTTTTAAGTATGCTCGGTTGGCAACAAATATTCCCAGGTCTCCTCTCTTCGAAATTCGTACTTTATCAAGTCTCTCCTGCGCACAGTCGCCTGATGGTTCGTTGACAGAGGGTGTTCAATTTCTCTAAATCGCTCTTTTGAACCAGTCCAGTAGTAAAATTTCAAGTCTGGATTTATTCGTTTAGTAAATTCGTTTAAAATCTTGGGCTGCTTTAAATCAAATATATTTCCAAGCATTTTATGCGTTACTGAAAATAAACATTCACATGCATGAGTCATCACTTGAGGATGCACTTGTGCCAACAACACGAGGCCATTACACTTTCATATCTCACATTACATTTTTGATCTAACATTTAGGGACTAATGTGGCATAAATTTATTACTAGGACACCAATATGGTTCTCATTACCTATATCTAAACTTCAAAACTTAAAAAACTCTTGAATGTTCAGACTTTTGTATCACTTATATACCATTTTACAACTAATATATCACCAGTATCATCATCACTGTATATCTATATTATAAATCAAGTTTCACCAACATCATTACAGTCCGTGCATCATCACAACATTCACTAGAATCAATATATTATCCACACTATTCCAATTCTATCATTTATATTGAATCGAAATTTCATTTCACTCCACACACCATTTCATCCGTGGCGGTGCCAGTGGCGGGCATTTGCCCCCCCCTTGCCCCCCCCCCAATTATTTTTTGCCCCCCCCCCGCACATTTTGCCCCTCCCTCAAGAAAATTTATTAGTCACTGAGAGCGACTAAAGGCTACACAAGCGTTTTGTCACTCGTTATCGGAAAATGTATGGCTTATAAGTTGTCATCAACTCAGTGAATGCGCAGTATACATGAAACTGTCTTTTACAGTTTCAATATTAGTTTGTAAATCTCTGAATGGTAAAACTTGCCAATACTCCAATAATACGTTTCAAAAAAGACAAAAAAGCTTTAGTTTTGCAAAGTTAAATTCTCAAACGTGTAAAGGCCCACACAGACCGGACGCGATTCGGCAACGCGACGCGAATTTTCAGTTTTCAACTGACAAATAAAACTGTCAACGGATAAAAATTTTACAAGGTATGCGGACCAAATAGCTGAAATTGCTAAGTGGTGCCGAATATTTGAAAAACAGTGAAAAATATTAAAGTTAAATGTCATTGAAAACTGAAAATTCGCGTCGCGTTGCCAAATAGCGTCCGCCCTGTATGGGCCTTAAGGCACTAATAAGATGCAAGTATCACGAAATTATTTGAATAAACCACATCGCATATATGGGGGGAGAATATCCTAAAGGGGGGGGGGGGGGGAAATCGCCCCTCTGGGGGGGGGCGATATTCCCAGGATATTCGTCCCCCGTGGGCGGTATTCCTAGGAATATCGGTCCCTTTTGAGAGGGGACGAATCTCCTGGGGGGGGGGACAAAAGTCCTGTGACAACGGCATGGGCAAATAGCAGTACCTTTTTAAAAATTCTATCTTGGCCCCCCAAAATATGAGTTTGCCCCTCAAATGCCCCCAAATTCTGAGGTGGCGCCGCCACTGCATTTCATGTTCACCCGATAGAATGTCCCAACAGGTCAGCAGGGCCATTTCACAGCATTCCAGGATCTGAATACCTGCAACCACCTTTTTGATCCATTTCTAAAGGAGAAACAAACAAACATTTACTGTTCGCTTACACGATGGTTTACCAGGACAGTTGCCTTTAAATTTCACGACAGAAGGTCTCTTGGCTGCCATAATGGAATAATCTAGTTTCGACCTACGAAATATGTGTATGTTTAGAACGAAAAAAAAACATGTATTCGAAGGGGCCCTCTGGGGCGCGTTTATACTGGTCTGTCTATCAAAGATTATATTTTAGGTTTAAGGTCGTTGAAACGAACATTTAGCAGTAGTTCAGTTGCTGCGAAGGCTTTTCAACATGAGTTAAAATAGCGTAAAATCAAAATAAGGCAATAAATATACATTATGAAATGGAAATATCAAGATGGTAAACAAAATTTGCTTAAAATATATTAAACTAAAATATTTACCTCTTAACGTTGCAGTAAAGTGCCAAGGAACTTCAGTAAATTTTCTCCACGCTTTCCGCCATATTGAAAAAGTTCGACCCAGTGTGCTTTCCGGTCGCTATGCGCACACCGCCTGCATCTGATTATATTTTTAAAAATGTGCACACGTGCACGCCCATAATGTTGGTAGATTAAGTACGATTAAAGTGAAAATACAAAAAAAAGATATATTATTATATTTTACTATTATTATATTATAAATGTTAATTATTTATTTAGACGCACATTATTAATACGCAAAACATTATTAAAGGTTGGTGTAATGTACTCAGGTGAATAAGATGCTTGTGTGATGTTACTCTGAGTGTATATCCACATCGGACAGGCTTGAAAAATATGCCTCGCCACAGCAAATATCATGATTATTAGATTACACTGATATCGAAGGAACTAGACTCAGTTTCGAAATATCGCATACTCGAACTGACCTGACCGCGTAGCTCAGTTGACAGAGCATTGGGCTAGTATTCCAAAGGTCGTAGGTTCGTATCCCACCGTGGCCAGGCATATTTTTCAAGCCTGACCGGTGTGGATATACACTCAGAGTAACATCACACAAGCATATTATATGTAGGTTAAAAGCCAAGGGAGAGGTTTTTATTAAACTGTGAAGACCGAGGGCCGAAGGCCTCGGGCCTCGGACCGAGGTCTTTACAGTTTAATAAAAACCGATACCCGCGGCTTTTAACTTGTTTATATACTCATCAGACCATATTCTTTTGAATTTTGGAGGTTTTCTTCATTAAAAATTCAAGCTATATTAATTCAATGAGAGGTCGCTGCAGTTGTGGGACGAAATAACTAGGTGTAACATGCGCATTAACACGCTTTAAAATGTGGTTAAGCATGCGCAGTATATCATTTCACGTCCCACAAGCAAAAGAGCAGATATTACTGTATAAATTCCCTGCACAAGCATGTTTGATAGTTGATCCAGCTAGTCCTCGTGCGCCGAATGATAGATACTCTTACCTAATGGTAGAGTTTTGACGGGCTCTGAGGTACACGGCTGTTGTTGTCTCTTTCTCGACTTAGAGACGTGCAACGTTTTCTAGTCGAAAAGGAGTTGTGGGTCTTGAGTTTTCCTGCAAATTCAAGTCCCGAATTCAAGACTCATGCCAGGTCTTGAATTGAAAATGTAAAACCAGGTAACTGGTTATTATTTTTTCGTAATAACCGTCTAGCAGGTTATTACGGAAAAATAATAACCTGGTAGCAGGTTATTACGGAAAAATAATAACCTGGTAGCAGACTAGCAGGTTATTATTTTTCCGTAATAACCTGCTACCCGGTTATTATTTTTCCGTAATAACCTGCTACCCGGTTATTATTCTTCCGTAATAACCTTCAACCCCGTATTTTCCTCGGAGAAATCAAATACCACCGCCTGCTTTTAGACTGAAGGTTATTACGGGGGAGTTAAAAACCGACGAAATACAAAAGAATATGGTCTGATGAGTTTGTAATAAAGGGTTCACAAACGATTCAAGGGTTAAGGCCAATGTATTTTTATGAAATAAAAAGAAAACAGTAAAATAATGCTCATTCAGACAATCCTGGTCAGAAATCCTTGGCGCACTTAGTCGAAATATAAAGCATAACATTTACATCATTTCTGATTACCATATACATACTTGCCCATTTTATGCAAAATTTCATGTCCAAGCATCCAGGGCCGTAGCTAGAACGATAATTGGGGGGGGGGGGTATATTCATATATTCGTGTTCTGCCCGACGGATTTCTTTTGAAATCGATTGTTTTTACGGTATGTAAAAATGAATATATGAATTTACCCCCCCCCCCCAATTATCGTTTCTAGCTACGGCCCTGCAAGCACTCCCTTATCCCCTTTATCAATGCTGTGTAACACCTTGCACGTATAACACACTACACACAACATTGAACGGGATAACGGGGGTGCTATGCTTGGTATTGATGTGGGAGTCAAATTTCGCACAGTCAGTGTCAAGTGCGCCAATATTTTTGTCCAGGATTATAGGTCTTCGTAGTTACTTGTGTTTACAATGTAATCTCATTTCTACTGTATTTTCGTAGCAACGTTGACAAAAACGATCCGCGTCATTAGTCTTACAACCAAGCAAAGCGTAAAGAATTCCTTTCTTTCGACGGCAAAGAGTAAGGTCTATAATTAATATAGTAAATAATAACAAACGACAGTAGAAACGCAGCGAGGATAGCTTTCCCGAAGCAATGGAAACTAGAATCTCATAATTCGGCTCTAAACAGAAACATGATAATTCAAGTTAACTCATCAATCTATAGCGCCTAAATCGCGCCTAAATCTGCTCTAATATGTCCCCTATGTCCTCTCAGACATCTCTAATATGTCCCCTATTTCATACGCCCCCTCTCTAATCAGTCCTCTCTCTATAATACGCCCTCTCTCTAAAACCTCTCAACTCTAATATTCACATTAATGATAAGCATTGTTATGCCTTTGTCACGCGTGTTTCATTATTCCGTTGAACCTCGTAGCTTCCCAGATGTTAGAGTGATATTTTGCGTTGTAATTGTAGCCGGTTTCGTGTACTTTTCGTTGTAGGTTTTGAGCATAGTTGTGGTTCAGCATTCTTTCCATCATAAGCCTTGCATGAAATATCACTTGTCAGGTTGACAAACTTCACTTTATTATTTATCAAAGTAACTGGAACTGTAGACGTGTTGTTTTTTAACGCCACACTGCCAGGAAAGCACTGTTTGTACGCTAGATATGTTGACGGTCGGACAGCGTCGATATGCGTGAAACGGTATCTTTTTTGAGGTTTGCAAGCATGACTGTGACACCGATGTATCAGATTGACTGGATTTTTCGTACAGTCCGCAATGTATTCAGCTTCTGACACTACAAGCGAAATTCATACAGAATAAGGTTACGGTGTAATAATCACCTATTCCTGCAGTTGAGACCTGAATTACGTGAAACGTCACTGAGTAGAAGGCTGACTAATGTGGCTTTGGTTGTCGTCATTGAATGCAGCTAAAGTTGAGTCCTTATTACTTTTTGGCGAGAAATGAAAACCCGGGACAGAGATCGCGGAGAAAATCCCTCAATGTACAAGAAAAAACCAAGCACAGACTGTTTTCCATCGGAAAAATTTGTTCACGCGCAGCTGCTTTATCCTTTGTCAGCATTGCTCATCAACTCAGCAAAAGCGATGCCGACAAAGACATAGAGATTATAAATAGCACTAGAGGAGGCATCAAGATTAAAAATTGGGAACGCAGCTAATGGGGGGCAAATTCAAGTTCCGGATATAAAATCGTGCTCTGATTGGCTGATTTGAAACTCGTCACCAATGGGAATGTGAATACACATCCAGGGCTTGAATATGCCCCCCCCCCCAATAGCTGCGTTCCATTTTTTTAGCTGAATTAAGATGATAATGCCTCCTCTAGTGTTATTTATAATCGCTGTGGACAAAGACGTTTCACGCGAACAACTTCGCCAGGTGGAAAACGCGCTTTAGCCTTTACGTGAGTTTTCAAGCCCATCAAGTAACAATAACGTAACCTAGATATTCCCCGAGCCGGCGGCGCGAAGCGCCGTGCGAGGGTACTAATTCCCCCCGGCTATTTACACCCGGGCAAACGAAAGCATTAGCGAAGTCTAAAGTTCATCAATGAGCGCGGGCGTCGGTCACCAACGATGGGTGGTCATCCTCACTGATCTCAAAAATATGGCGGATTGTCATGAATAACGGACACTGATTGGTCCAATTTAAAGTTTGCATTATAATGACTGCATGACGACAGCGAAATAGCAAACATTTCTTGATTTGATGATTGATAAATTTCTTACAAATATATTTCATTTTTGCTCGTATTTCTGCAAGATTTTGTAAATTTCAAAAAAGAAAGGGCGAAAGAATCAGCTAAAAGAAGGGAGCCGACGTTTACGAAGGTACGTTTGTTTTAAATATTGATTTTACAATGGCTTTAAAACCCGACGGCCTTTGCGTATATGAAACAACTAAACAAGACAGCATATATAAATTTCAGTGTAACTTTAATATTGATTCCCTTTTTTACTAGTTATATTGAATTTTTTAAATAAAAAATAAAGCAAAGACCAAAGTTATTTGCAAGCGAGAATTTGAAATCATTTTATTGCAAACTCAAAGTTTATCGACTAAAGCCATTTAATAGTTAAAGGCAGTTTAGTTTTATAAAGAACACTTTAAAACGTTTTGTGAATTGTTTGTGGTTGAATTTTACCTTAAATTGAAGCTTGTATTACGTATAATTACATACCTAACATATATATGTTGGGAAATTGATAATTTTCTAATTAAAAGTGATATTTTTAGGCGATTTTCATTTGTAAGAATATTCTTAAAAAATTATCGTGTTACCATGACAACTACTCTAGATACTTCCTGTTCGGAAAATACAACGGTTTTGTCAGCAAGGCGAGGGTTTCTGCATGCATGTATTTTCTAGTCAGCATAGCAGTTTTAACTCGGTGATGAGGAGAGAGCTACCCTGTCCCCCATAATATGTGAACATGTTTTATGACTATCACAACAAAACTACGGAAAATGTTTTCTAAAATCGAAAGATAGTTAATCACAAAACATGCATGTTAATTAGACTAACCTTCGTTATTAGTTATGGTTTGATACAGAGTACTAGCCCTGAACTTGAGTGTGCCACATTTACAAGACGTGTGATTATAAACCACATAGTTATAAAACTTCGTTTTATTGGTAGAATTCCGATCATTGCCTTTCGTTATATCCGGAACCACGATCTCAATTTTTTCAATATTTTTTGGCACAGGATACCCAGACGGTCCACTGCTAGGGCATTCACCGAAGTCAACTTGAACACAGCGATAAACTTTGATGAAATATTGAGGTCTGGATAGCGGGGTGGCAAAGTCATCATTATATATTGAAACCACTTCTCTTTGTGGTCCTAAAACAAAAGAATCAGGTATTGGTATGTTTGAGTAAACTATTTCATTATTTTCTTCTGATACAAGATATATTACATATAATGAAAAGGCTGGTTTAACACCATCTGTAACACACTAGTGCTGAGTGAACAAAGTAAAACTACAGATTTATAATTTATCTAAAAATATATGCCGTAAAAGAAGTAAAGCTGAATTACCTGTAATAGATTCTACAACTGGTAGCATGATGAGCGATAGTAAAATGTTCAGCGCAAAGTATTTGAAGTTTAAAATCTTGATATCTAAAGAACATGGATGAAAAAATTATTTTATCCGATCTTCCAATTTATCAAACATAATTCAGGACTAAGACATGATCAAAACTTGTATCCTGTATTATGAGTTGACTTAAACATTATCAAACTCCAGTACACACACGGTACAATCACTCAGCAGATATTAAACGGGAGTGTCAGGAGTCGGATAAGCACACACTGTGGATATTAAAGCAAGATTTCAATTTTTAAAAGCATATATTTGGAAAATAACGTTTCACACAATGAGCTTTGAAGCAATTTTTGTTTGGCAAAATGAGAAGAATTGATTTATTATGGAAAATCCTGAAATATAGGGCAAGTTTGCTTTGAATGTTTTATGTTTTTGAATTTTGTTGCTTTAATAATTTATTACATAAAACATGCACTGCTGTTTTCTTTTTCAATGAAGCTGTAAGTTTCCTAAATTAGCTACCCTGTTTGATTTAGGAAAAAAAGGTAAATATAAAGGAGAGCAAATTAATTTGAAAACCTAACTGCATGATTGACATAAAGTTTCGATTTTCTCGGCTAAATCGATCCATATCGCCAAACTAAAGTTGGTAAACTTGATCACTTATAGATGCATTCATTTGTATCATCAAATAAACACCAACTGTTCATGCTTTCAATTCATTGCTTGAACAATTCTCATTTTCACACCGACCTGGAACTGCTTGTGGCGCTGAGGAACCCTTTAATTGACTTAGCGAGAAGGTCGAGGAACATTTGTATATCATTATTTTCATACTTTGGTATCTGTCATTTGAGACAGGAAACATAAATACATGCAGTCACGTATACTTTGTGGTTGCATACAAAATGACGTAATGTACAGACATACCCAATTGGCTTGTGGGGCTGTGTCTATACGTAGATATTGCTAATGGCAAAACGGACATTCTAAATTAATAGACGACCAGCAAACATTCTGAAATGTACACTCTGATCAGTCTGATGGCATTTTTTGTGACAAGCTGCCAACTGGCATTTTCTTACAGCTTACACATTGGTGAACAAGACTATATAATGTTCGCACCTCTGATTTTGGCTTTGTAACTGAAAATTTCAGAATTTTAAAATTTTTCCTAATAAAGTACTATGTTGACTAAAAAATAATACAAAATTTCAAGTTCACTTTTCACAAAAAAATCTGCACTATTAGCAAGATCGCCAAAAAGTATACATAAGACATTTAGGCAAGTAGTGCGAATTTTCAAGCCAAGTTTTGAGTTAAAGAGCTTAAAGTTGGCAAAATAGTAACTCTTGGCTCATTTTCTTCATTTTCATGGGTTAAAAGCTCAAAATTGGCCACGAAAATCATGCTACTCGCTTAAATGTCTTATATATACTTTTTTGCGAACTCTCTAATGGTATAGTTTATTTCTGTTAAAAGTGAACATGTAATTTTGCATTTTCCTCATCCTTGTACTTTTTATAGGCAAAATTTTCAAATTCTCATCTCAGTATAATGCCAAATCAGAGTTGCCAACATATCTATAGTCTTGTTCGTTACTGCATAACTCTACGAAAATGTCAGTTGGCGGCTTGTAACAGAAAATGTCATCAAGAAAATGCCAGAAGGAAAACGGAAGTTTTATGCAGATAAAGTCCAACATCTGAAAAATAGTGGTGGAAGCTCGTGAAACAAATATCTGGTCAATCTAATGATATAGCGCCAATATATATTGAAAAGAACGGAGTAGCTTTGACCAATGTTCAATTAGTAAACGCCTTAAATGAATTCTATATCCTCGTGAATGCAGATATTCCTCCCCTTGATATGCAAGAGTTACCAGCTTTTTTGCCAGCCGCTAATCAGGTACTGGTGATATATTCTTATCAGGTTTGTAAGAAATTGCAAAAACTCAACCCTTACAAAGCAATGGATCCTGATAATATTTCACCACGTCTTTTGAAAGGAGTTGCTTACGAACTAGCTGAACCAAGACGTTAAAACATCTCTTTATCTTCTTGCATCGTTCTTGATAGTTGAAAATGGGCGAACATTACTCCTATATCCCTAAAGAAAAACTACCGAAAGAGGAAAGTGATCTACGACCATTCCCTTTAACGCCCTGCATCTCTAAGGTTATGGACGAATTTGTAGCAGAATGAATTCTTGAAGATATTGCGCATAAAATCGATCATAAACAGTTCGGCGTTACAAAAGGCACATCTACAACTTTGTGCGTCTCGGATATGTTTCATGATTGGCTGTTAAATTTGGATTCGCCTGGCCAGTATTTGCGAATTTAATTTGTTTTCTAGATTTTAGCAAGGCTTTCGAACGCATCAAGCTTAACATTTTGGTTACCAAGTTGGTCATTTCAGGAGTACAAGGTCATTATTGCCGTTTTCGTGCAGTTTTTGTCAAATCGCAAACAACGAGTTAAGTTGGCTAAATCTTTGTCAGAGTGGGTCACAGCGAATGCCGGTGTCCCACAAGGCACTAAATTGGTCCCCATTTTGTTTCTTGTTATGATCAACGATCTTGTCCTGCCAACATGTGATTATTGGAAATATGTAGATGATCTTAGTACTGCTTCGGAGGTTATAGCCAAATACGGAAATTCAACATTTGATTATATATCTTCTTGGTTGTATGCTAATTACATGAAGTTAAATGCGAAGAAATGTAAAGAGCTAAGGGTTTGTTTCTTCCGTGATACGCCTGTTTTGGAACCATTAACTATTGACGGAATACAAATAATATTGTTGACTGCCATAAGGTTCTTGGTATTGTATTAAATAGCTCGCCGAAATGGACGGATCATGTTAATATGATTACAAAGAAGGCAGCAAAGCGTCTTCACATTATGCGTACCTTAAAGAGAAGTGGTACGACCGCCGATAATTTGTTAACAATTTAATTTATATTGCACTTATTCGTTCGGTTATGGAGTACTGTTGCCCAGTTTGGCACACTAACCTACTATCCTATCCCAGCGAACAAATTGAACGTTTACAGAAGAAAGGTTTGAGAATAATTTTACCAAGTTTTTCATACAGAGAAGCACTGTCTGCTGCAGATTGTGTACGGCTTGATGATAACAGACAACGTTTGTGCCTTAATCTCTTCCAAAAGACTAATTGAAACGGCGATAATAAATTCAATCCGCTCATACCTAATTCTTGGCTCAGCGAACATGGGTCGGTCACTTTGTACTGATATTTTTAAATTTTTAAATGTAGTACGGACCGATTTAAGCGCAGTTTTTTTCCCAGCACTAACTCAATATTCTAACAATATCTAGTCAATTATAATAGTTTATAACTTTTCTTAATATTTAATGTATGTAGGACAAATAGTACACTTAAAGCATCCTATGATCATATATACTGTTTTTTAAATTAATAGAGGCACGCATGTAAATATAAAGTATTGCGCCTTGGTGTAATTCTATATGCTAATAAACAATAGTAATAATAATAATAATAATAATAATAATGATGATAATAATGATAATGATAACGATAACGATAACGATAACGATAACGATAACGATAACGATAACGATAATAAGAATGATCAAAGTCACAAGTTTCTGTTCCACTTCGTTGCTATGCAAATGTAGATACTTCAAAACGCTTAAAAATCACAGACGATGTACAAAACGCTTCTTTTTTAAAGTATATGAAATCATCATTTTGGAAATGCTACCGCGACCTCGCAAGCAGTTGGACTAAAAAAGGATCGAGAAATCACTTCTAGCAAACATTTTGCCATTGGTAAGTTTATTGAGCAAAATTGACTCATTCTAGTGGCCCTGCGGTCAATAGCATGTCATGCATCTGAATTCACGGCAATTCATGCAGTCAATTTATTAAATTCGTTTAGATCACCGAAAAGTTAGAATGGGTAGCATGCCGTGCTGTTTGGAGAGTTTGTGAAACAGACATTGACATCGCAAGAAATTAGATCGCTTCAAAGCGATTTCGCCTTGAGCAAGTGGTTTCTTCAATGAACGGCGTTTGATTCCTTTTTCCTGCGTTACAAGTGTCACATGCAACGCAAAATCCGCGAAAGACGACGACAACGAAACAAGTTGCGCGCCTGAAAGCTACCCAGCGATTGGCTACTTCGTCGTGTACAAGGAATGCGCAACCTGCAACGAGAAGATCTTGTTTTCCACCATTCACAATGAAGAATTAGATGCAGAGGTAACGCAAATTCGAGTGCGAAAATCATCTGAAAGCAATAATGAAATGGAAAAGGCTGCAATTAAAACAGTTATTCCAAGTGGTCAAGGATCACAACAACAACACCATCCAGGAGATGCTCCAAATATCAAACGTGTATTGATACAAGAATTCCGAGGGAACGCCGTCCGATGATGATGAAGACGATGATCAACCCTAGTTTGCTTCAACTCATTTCCCAGTGTCCCCTGCCGTATAATCGTCGTAAAAGAAATCGAGTTTCGGGATCGTGTGGCTACAGCAGTTGCAAAGCTGGAATCAGACGGACTTCTTGTCGGTGATGCATGCGTTGTAAAGTTGGACAATCCACTGTTCTCATCCAACAACGATGTCGCCGCCTTGATAAACAACATCGACAAATGCATGAAGTTATGCGACCACGGCTTGTATCGTTCAGAAATTTGCACCAAAACAGAGGGGTCACAATTTAACGTTTGTAAAAATTATGGATGTAACTAGTTACTTGCATATACTTCTGGCTAACGAAGTGTTGCGTGACAAGCTGATTCAGCATTTTCAAGTGGTCGATAAATTTCTGTCTCATCCAGCATGCACAATAATTCAGCAGATCAAATTTGACGTGGATCTCATTGAAGTATCAAACGAGTACTTCTCGATCAAAGCCCGAAAGTTCATCGTCTGCCCTATCACGGAAGCCATGCATGGAAAACTGTCGCCAAGATCTTTTGTTCCGCCTGACAGTTCCAAACCGCCGAAGCCTGGTTATTTTTGGAAAGGTATTGTCAACTCCTTTCCCGATGACGACGTGCGAGTGCGGTTGCTGCATAAGGTATGCATCAGTACCTGCTCGCGTTCAGCATGCCTCACAAGGTGAAGAACGTGGTAGTGGTTGGCCCCAAAGATTCGGGCAAAACATCTTGGTCCAACATCTTCCATCGTGTTATTAACGCCAGCTACATTATTTATATTGCGTCGCTCACTATATAACGAGAGACAACTTTCTGCTCCTATGATCAACAACGAAACTCAGCTGGCCCTCGTAGACGAGGTAAAGAGGTACAGAAAATCCATTTCCATGCAGACACTTTCCACAGCAATTTTGTTTGAAGTAATCATGTGTTTATTGCCTGTTGATAGCCAGATCAATATATTTGTGGTTTATATATTTCTGTTTTCTCTATTTATAACATGTCATGCAGAAACGTCTGTTAAAATATGGCTAGAAACCAATTTTCACTGTACACCCCGCTAAGTTAAAAAATACTTACATTTTCTAATAGATTTAAACAGGCTGAATCCAATTCTAAAAAGTTGTTGTTGATAAACCCTGCAGTTTTTGTAAATTGCGATCAAAATGTTAAAAAATGATCAAAATGTTCTGGCCTTGTACGAAGATATAGTTAGCAACACCAGGCATTCTTTCAAGATTATGAACTTATGTGGACACTATTTCATCTTTATGGCGTGTAATAAAGGACGAAACAAACTTGAATATATAAAATACATATTTAAACAATACTATAATTTATAATAGTCCAGCTGTTATCGACCAAAAAAATGCCGAATTGTTCAAATTGGTGATGAAAGCATGAAACTTTCACAGATTACAAATATGCCTATGGGGAATATTTCTTGACATAGGGCCAAGCCAAGTTAAGCCATGGGGCCGTGAACTGCGCATGTCAGAAATCTTCCAGCATGGAAACGAGGCCGAAACTTAAAACAGCCTATGACAGAAGTGTATAGACTTTTGTTGACATCAAAATTTTCCTTAAGAATCCACTATCAGTTAATATGTGTTCATAGTACCTTTGGGGTGATATTGTATTCATTTGACCACTTTTTAAGTATATTCTCATTGAGATTTGGGTACCTGTGGTGAAATTTTTATTTTTCATTTTACAAGCTATTTTAACTATTTTGAGGCCGAAATTATCCCTAAATGACTCATTTACAATGTAGTGTTGACATTAAAAGTTTTTCAGGTGTTTTCACATTTTTATCTATCTCGGTCTAGTTGAATTTGCAGATCCTACAGTTTTGTCAATAAACACTATTTTAATATTTGCCTGAAATATATTAAGAATATTGTTGGAAAGAACTAAACACAACAAAAACTATTATACATGTAATAATAGGTGTGACAATTGTCGCATTTTCATGACTTTATGAGTGGCTGATTTTATGAGTAGTTTAACAGTTTATAGTTGCACTGGCCCCAGTCCCCCATCCTTTTCAAGATGGCCGCCTTCATGGATACTTACAGCTGTTCAAGGTATGTTAAAAATGGTATAAAAATAACAAATAAATATTGTTTTAAGGGGATTCTTGTGGATATAATTGTTTCCTGTATGTAATTGGAAGCATATATATACATAATATAAATGTAAATGTGATTTAAGCCCAAATTTCGTATTTTAAAATCAGTAAATTAAGCCGAATTACTATAAGCTAACTTGAAGATTTCAATTATATTTTCAGTTGAGCATGGACTGGAAACTGTGTATTATATGTCAGAGATCCACTAAAGAAGCTCTTCAATGCCCGGCAAGATCTAAACGTAAAGATGCTGGGGCTGGCTATTTTTCGTTTATTCGCAGTGCTTTAGGATATAGGGCTGAAATAGGAATAGAAGTGACCCAAATTGACATAGAAAGCCCGGGGATAGAACAGACCTTGACGATTCACAATGCATCTTGGCATAAGTCATGCAGAGATCTATATAATAATACGAAGCTTGAACGTGCAAAGAAAAGAAAATTAGCTAAAACTGACAAAGACGAAGATAGACCCGATGAAGAACCTTCCAGCTCAAGTCCTGTGAAGTCCAGGCGATCATCGATTTTGACCGGTCCTGTGGCTGCTCAAAACCTTCAATGTTTTTTCTGTGACAAGCAAGATAGCCCTGATAACTTACATTGTGCTTCGACCTTAGAGGTAGACCGTAGAGTCCGAGACTGTGCCAGGCTTTTGAATGATAGTAGTCTAATTGCTAAACTCTCTACTGGTGATCTGATTGCTATGGAGGCAAAATATCACGCCAATTGTTTGGCAAGCCTTTACAACAAGACAAGGCCGATAAGGAAAAAAAGCTCAAAATCTAGTGATGAGTTACCCGTAGACGTTGAAAAGCTTGCGTTCGCCGAGCTAATAGCATACATCGAGGACATCCTGGAAGTAGAAACAGCTGTGCTTACATTATCAGAGTTAGTCCGATTCTATCAATATAAGCTCAAGGAACTAGAGGCAGACTGTGGAAAAGTGAACTCCACCCGATTGAAAGAAAGAGTGCTAAAGGCATTTTCTGATCTAACTGCACACGCGGAAGGTCGTGAAACCAATTTGGTATCGAGGCATGTAATAGGAGGTATTCTGACAGAAGTGAAAAACAAAGATTCAGATGCATGTTGCCTTGAGAGGGCCGCACATATCGTGAGGAAGGACATACTTAATGTGAAGAACTCATTTAATAGAACATTTCAGATCAAGAAGAATGTCAGAAGCAGTCTATCCCAGCTTCTTTGCTTACGTTAATTGGCATGCTGATAAAAGGTCCCTCTACAAAGTCTGACCCATCAGATAGCCAGTCATGTATATCCATCGCCCAATTAGTTGTGTTTAACAGTGTCTCGAGGTCTCATAATCGGCCAGATGCCACTGGCAGTATGCACCATATCAGATCACGAGAGTGCCCATTACCTATTTATATAGCCTTGAAAATACACTGATGTACAAGAGACCGGTCTCTCATCGATGCCTTTTACAGTCTTGGCATGTGTATATCATATGAACGCCTGCTCACCGTATCTACAGAATCACCAACAGTGTGCTTGATAGGTAAAAACACCATTTGAAAAATCTTCTTCTTTTCTGTATTGTCTCTATATCTTCTTGGATCACCAAAGTCCAGCATTATGCTGACATTATAGACTGTATCGTGCACAAACAGATATTATATCTTTTTATCTATTCAATCCAAATGTACCCAAATTGAATTAACTAATGTTTTTATTATAACATCAGAAATTATCGATGTCTCAGCTAAGGCCCGGTTTCCATTTGGTCCGTAGCTGTTGCTGGCACGACAATATCAACATATATCTGCAATCATTAAAGTCTGATTTTCACACAAGATACAAAAGACAATATAAATTTAGACTATATCACGTGTACCACTTGTTATGTCCCCAACAGCTAAGGACCAGGGGCCGATTGTATAAAAAGTAGTTAAAGTTAACTACAGTTAGCGCGATAGTTGACCAATTAGAATCGAGTATTTAAGAGTTAACCATATTTAACTACAAATTTGATTTTTTTTATTATAATCATTGGTTACTATTGTGCTTAATTGTAGGTATGAGCGTGAAGAAGTAGTATGTCCATCCCAGTTAAGAAAAGGGTTATTCACCACATCTGCTGTGGACAACATTGACAACAACACCAGTTCGACCACCACACAGACATCGTTCCACGGGACGGCCATTTCTCTTGTCCCACACCCCAACACTAACAACCAAGGAACCCCAAGAGCTACGGACACGTTTGACCCCACTGCGTCAACTACCACCAAGACAATAGCTCACCTCCCATCCAGTTACACTGAAATAGCTCCTATGACACAGCCCAACGGTGACTTGTATGCTCCACGTGTTCCAGATCAGTCCCTGGCACCTCCCGCCCCTCCTGACTCTAGCCTGATAGACGAAGAGAATGACTGACTAACAAGTACCCAGCAGCTCATCTCCAAGGACAAGCTTGACCCCAAAGATTTTGTGTCATTGGCTGCGTACAAAGTTTCGCGGTCTGCGCTCTCACATTATCAGCCAGCGATCATTACCCTATTGCCGATGTTTATTGATAATGCACATTCTATGGCTATGATAGCACATAGTATGCGAGTTATTAAGGTTGCTGTGAAACATGTTAACCCTTCGCAAGCTCCAGTAATCGCTCTCGATCAGCCCTTGTTTGCCTTAGCCAAGCAGATACAGTGGAAAATTCCTGAATTCGGCGAAGATAAATTTGTGGTCATGATGGGAGGACTCCATATCGAGATGGCTTCTTTCAAGATGCTTGGAAAATGGCTTAGTGGTAGTGGATGGCCTGAGGTCATGTGTAATGCAGGCATCGCAACACAGGGGATTGCAGAATCAATCTTGTCTACGAGTCATGTAACACGCACACGACGAGCACACCAGGTGACAGCGGAAAGTCTGTTCATCCTGCTGAATAAGGCATACAACCAATACAAGGCGTCCCTACTAGAGGAAAACGAGCACTGCAATATCCCGGCATTTGCTGATTGGAAAGAAGAAAGAGCTACCAAGTCACCGCATTTCCATTATTGGGCGTCCGTCCTTGACCTCGAGCTGATGTGCCTACTCCTCGTGAGAGCTTTCAGAGAGGCAGACTTCCCGCTTTATGTCGATACCATCAGGAAGATTCTGCCCTGGATGTTTGTCATGGATCCTCCCAACTATTCCAGGTGGCTCTCAGTTCACTATCGGGATATGTGTCTCCTTCCTTCGAAGCATCCAGACATTTACAACCACTTCAGTGATGGCGCATTTGTTGTACACAAGACCACCAGGGTATTTTCTTCCACAGCATTAGATCATGCCCACCAGCAAGTGAATGCTGTGGTGAAAGGCGAAGTTGGTCTCACCGAACATCCAGCAGCTCTATGAAGATGGATGGTGGCCGGCCCGGAGATGTCCAGAATGATACAAGAATTCCAGGGAGGCACATCTTCAGCAGAGCAACGAGACCATCATGAACAGAAGCCAGGTGTGCAATCTGCGTTCTCCCATGACGTCGTCAACTCTGTGTCGTGCTTTGAAGAAGTGGGTAATCCCTTTCAAGATGAAAGTGAAAACTTAATGGCGATTCACACAAGGGACATCATGGGCGATGAAGTTGTTAAAACTATCAGGAACGCCAGCAAGATTTGAGAAGAGCAGTTCAAGTCGTTTGTTGAAGGACGATTTATTGATGGCAGCAAGCCGGTCACCGACACTCTGAAGAAAAACAACCTCCCTACATTAAACGCTCCGACCAAGAAGGCAGTATCAAAGGACAAAGCCAAAGTCCAAGTCTTGAGGGAGGATTGCCCTTTGTTCTCGCGGCTTTACATAGCGTGCCAAAACCGCGATGGAAATTTGGAGGACTTTTTCACATATGAGAATCAGCCATGGCCGCCATCCCTCTCAGAACTTGGTCAACTTCGAGGAGGAGTGAAAGCAGACCTGATAAAGTGCTTGCCGAACACTACACCACAGAGTCCCAAGCAGCCAGAAGCAGACGTCGTCATTCTGGATGGTGCGGTGATTGTACAAATGTTGCAGCCACGGACGGCTCGCACATTTATTGAATATGCAACGACGGTATTCGCGCCTTATGTCTTGAAGCACCTTGAGACTGTTAGACGAGTGGATCTTGTGTGGGATGTCTACCAGGATGATTCACTGAAGAAATCTCTCCGAGAAAAGAGAGGTACTGGGCAACGGCGAAAGGTGCTAGAATCTACTAGAATCGCGCGCGACTGGAAAAGCTTCTTAAGAGTAGATGAAAACAAGGAAGAACTGTTCAAGCTTCTTGCGACAACGGTACGTTAAAATGATTTGTTAAAGGTACGTTAAAGCGATACATTGAGATGATTTGTAATATTATACCTTACATATTCATGATTTGACTGCATTTTAGGTTGTTTCACTAGCAGTTCCTGAGGGTAAAGAGATCTACTCCACTCATGGTGAAAACGTGCTGTGTTCTTCGAACAGAACAGATCTAGGTGTTCTCGCGCCATGCAACCACGAAGAGGCTGATACCCGCCTTATCGTTCATGCTAATGATGCATCTTCGTGTGGCTATCGAAGGATAAAGATACGAAGTAACGACACTGACGTGGTAGTTCTTGCTGTTTCAATCGTCAACACCCTTGCCATCGATGAGATGTGGATAACACACGGATCCGGAAAGAATGTCCACAACATCCCAGTACATGCTGTCGCAGCATCCGTAGGTCCAGCTAAATTAATCCACGGCAATGCCATTATTTCATGCGCTCACTGGCTGTGATACAGTGTCGTACTTTCGAGGACGTGGTAAGAAAACCGCTTGGGATGTGTGGGGCGTTTTTCCTTAGCTGACACCAGTCCTGAGTGCTCTAAAGACATCACCTGAAGACATCACTGAAGAATCCATGGCTGTGCTAGAAAGGTTTGTTGTGCTTCTATATGACCGTGCAAGCAGTCTAGCGAAAGTAAATGAATCAAGGCAACAGCTTTTCTGAAAGAGATCGCGAGAGCTTGACAGTATCCCCCCGACACGCGCAGCACTTGATCAACATGTCCGGCGAGCAGTTCTACAAGGAGGACATGTATGGGGCCAATCCCTCCTACGCCAGCAAGTGCTTCCAAGCCCATCCACCAGGAAATGGCAGCTCCAAGGTCGACACTGGTCTCCATATTGGACATCTCTCTCACAAGCCAAGAACACTTGTTACGAACTCATCAGTTGTGGATGTAAAGTTTCATGTATCGGCAGGTGTAAGTGTTTGAATGCAAATTTGACAGGCACCGGTCTGTGTTACTGTGGTGGCAATTGCATTAGGTAGCTAAGAACATACGTTACGAACACATTCGTCACATGACCTTGCCTATAATCATAGTACTCTGTTGAGTTTTGCGTTTGTTTTACATGTCAAATCTACTCCTTTCATTCTTTATGAAAGACAAATTGCTTATATTCAGCACTCAAAATATCTCCGAAAATATATTACGAAAATATATTAAGAAAATATTTTAAGAAAAAAGCACTTTTGCCTCAAGAAACTTTGGAAATAGTGATGATCTGTAAATATATGAGATTTCACCACAGGGTACCTAACCAATTTCAACACGATCAACAAATGTGATCATATAATAGCGTATAAATTCTGAAACAGTTGTAAAAATGTTTATTACAAATAAATTAAGTTGTTATGGTGAGTTTGTGTTGTACAGAAACAGAACATGGTTGCCTAAGGGGATTTTTAGCTTTCAGCCTCGTTTCCATGCTGGCATATTTCAGACATGCGCAGTTCATGGCCCCAGGGCTCAATTTTCCTTGGCCCTATATCAGGAAATATTCCCCATAGGCATATTAGTAATCTGTGAAAGTTTCATGCTTTTATCACCAATTTGAACAATTTTGGTCGACAACAGCTGGACTATAATACCATATCTATAGAGTAATTAATAGCACGTTAGCTTTCTTTTCGTGTAAAACTACACAAATTCACCATCATCACAATCCACTGCCTCCTCATCAAAGTCATTGACATTGTCAATTAGCTCTTCAATACTTCATCTATCTCACTGTTCTCAGAATTGCTGCATTGGCAAAGTTCAGTGCACTTCAAATTTGCTTTAAAACATGAGCATATATTTGTTTGACAAGCGTTTTTGCATTCGCAGTTCTATAAAGATGCTGCCGGCTGTCTGGAGCTGGCCCATAGAAATAATAGACTTAGAATGCCCGCTGATAACGAATCATGCATTTCTCTACTTTTTCATATTGCGTGTCCTTTTGAATGCGCCATTTTGAATTTTAGGTCAGGAGGGCAAACTAGAAAGTATAAACATGAAAGCTAAAACTACGTTTTCAACGTCAAAACGTTTTGTCTTGTTGTCTAATCTGCAGTTTGGGGGATAGATTTTGAGTTCCTTGAAGGCACAAACTGTTAAAGCAAATGTGCAGTTACACAACGGTAAAAATCGTGCACAGCCTTGCAAACACAAAGTAGTTTCGCGAAAATATAATTTACTCATAAAAATTTTTGCATGCTCTGCACGTAACTGTTTTGCTAATATCTTATAAGATTACAATATGATAGGTCTTTCTTCGTCGGCTTTCGTTTTTCTTCAATAAATTGTCGATAAACTGTAAATTGCCTATTAAAAATAATCGTCGAAAACTATTGTTTTAAAAGCGTTGCCACAAGCTCAAGCAACGTATAAAACTATGAAATGTAATTGTGTAAGTTTAAAAAGATTATTGAACTCCATTTATATTATAAAAGACTTGTAATATTTGTAGAACATACCTATATATTGATCAGTTTGTCTTGATCTTTCGTGTTTTGTTTTGGCTTGTACAACAACATAACGTTGAAAATTTATTTTTAAACGACGATTTCTGCATATATTCTGTTCAGAACTATTGCTTTTCGTGAAAAAGCCCACTAGAATGGTTTTTAGACACGTTTAATTTTTCCAGTTTAAGTCTCTATATAAATTTTTTTGCAAACTCTTCAGTTGAAAAAACAATTCGTACTCCCTGCAACCTCGCGAAATTCCTTGCCTCAGAAGTCTGGGACCAACCAAAATGCCTTTTTCAATGCGCCATTTTGTGGAAACAATTTTTTTACTGAGAAAAGATTAGGAGCACGCATTCTATGTCTATTATTTCTATCAGCAGGCCATTGGGTCCCCCAAAAATTATCAGACCACGGGACCAAAAATTTAGACAAAAGGAGAAATTCAGAGGGAAAATTGTAAGCAATGGAGAGAATTTTACCTGTTCTGTAGGAATAAGCTGAAAAATGCAATTATAAGTGCATCCATCTTCATTCATAGTGTGATAGCATATAAATGTATAGATTATAGAGTGATGTAAAAAATGTTGCATGGCAAATGCATTTTTAGCCAATCTGGGGCACTTGATTTTTAAAATATTCTGAGGAGCATTGTCTGCTCTTTGTGTCGAGGTTTCTCCCATGAACGGCTGCTCACTCGAGCACAACATTCCATTCCTTTTTCCTCAGTTATCATTACTCAGTTATGCTGCATATAACTTTACTGCAGATGATATTAATCAGTCATGTGTCTGCAAACATGCTGCTAGTGTGCATCCAAAAGCACTTGTTTATAAATTATAAGACAAATTGAAGATTAGTTTTGTTTAAATCTATAAAATATGGATGGATCGATGTTCATCTAAATAGTCCCAGTCTGATTTTTTTGCATATCGTTTAGAAAAGTGATTAATGCAATTTTCAATATTTGCTCTAAACGATGTGCAAATTGCACAGTGGTAATTCGAACCCTGTTAAGTCATACATATGTAACAATATCTGACAATTCCAAGAATAACATTTTAGAACAGTCTAAAATTGATTGTCATTATCATCAGAATCTTTATCTAGTCCATTATCTCTATCAGTTTCCATCAATTCTGTGCTTTCCATATTTTCACATTGGCATAATTCTGTGCATTGTAAATCTGTTTTCTTACATGAGCACCTCCTGGTGTTGCACTGCATTTCTGCACCTTCACCAGATGGATATGGCTGGGCCATAGAAGCAGCTGATCTGGACATCAAATGGGGCCCAATGGAAAGTGCTCCAGATAGCTAGTATTCTTGAAATTATGTGTAATATATAATTATATGTAGTTAGATATTGCTTTATGGCCTTTAGGTCATATTGAGCACTCTACAGGATGAGCCATTGCTGCTTACGCATTGTGCGCATGCTCACTGCTGGCAGTTTGAGCACTCTGGCAATGGTTTGATGTCCCACATTCGTGAGATACCAAAGGTAACTATTAATACTAGTTACTTTCATCCTGTTCATCAGCACTACACTGATGAGGCCCAAAAGGCCGAAACGGTACCGTCTGTAGTTATATATGTATCAGTGTATCGATGAATCATGACTGTACAACTCATCCAACTTTGCCATTCATTACAATTACTAGAAAATTTCTTTCAAAACATTGCATTAAAAGGGTACATGACACAGAGATGAATATCTATCACTGTTTCAATTTTACAGAAACACTTTCTTACGAAGTGTAGACCCTAATTTTCACTTCGTTCTATCATTGAAACTTCCCCAAGGGGAGGTGCATATGACGTTTCAGGAGAGGTGCAAAAATTCACAGGGATGTACAAAACGATCTCAGGGGAGGTATCCATAGATATAGGAGACCTAGATTGCTGACTTGGCTGAAGAGGCGCGCCAAATTTGAAAATCCAAGATGGCGGCTCAACCGGTCAAAAATCATAGAGCGAGATAGGGAAAAAACTTTTTTTTTTCATTTTACGTCGTCCTACTGTTTCCGATCCCGTTGAACCACCTTTTTTTTGGAAGAGGTTAACTGGTGTGAAAGTTTTGGATGTATATTTGTTATAATTAGTACGATTTACAGTTTAAAATTGAACCGGGCAAGAATGGGCAAAGACGAAAATGGCGCGAAACTGCCGGCCTGGTTTCTTTTCCTGTGTATTCCTTGAGTCTTTTACCAGTTTTTCTACAGTAATGTAACGTATATCTGACTATTCCAAAAGTTACTATTATTTATTTTGTTCTTTCATTGCTATTTCGACCAAAATACAGTATTTTCATCTGAAAATTCTGGGGCATTCTATTCTAAAAAATTTGTTTTTCTATCGAAAAGAATGCCTTGAATCTCGGCCTGTTTTGTGTGCTGAGTATAACTGCAAGGCCAGACGTGGGGATTTAAAAGATGGTATTCGCTTGTCCTTCCATAAGTAAATCTATGAAACACATATATCGTATATTTGTACACTATAATATACTTCATATAAACAATAATATAAGACTATTAATTAAAATAAGACAGCTTTTAATAGCATAAAAACAATTTGTTTTGTAAATACAATAATGACAACAAATGTAGTTTTGAGCTTGTTGGCTACAATATAAAACTGTTTGCAGTTTTAGTAAAAGAACATTAGACCAAAAAGAACTTCTTGTTTTGATGTCTGTGTTAGGAGTCTAATATATATATATATATGCATGTGGACAATAACTTTCATAGAGGTCCTTGTCCTGTTGAAGGTCAAAAAAATTTGAGTTTTGTTCATATCAGTGAACCAAAAATACATATTTCCCTTCACACTATTTAGATTTCCTATAACCAATCCCAGCCGACTAAAAAGTTGGATAACAGCAATGAAATGGGCAGACTGGATGCCAACCAAATATTCAGTATTCTGCGAGAAACAACTTACTCCCAACAACTATATTAACCCATTAAGTCACATTGTGTCCTGATGTGCCCTACTTTATTATTTTATTTTGTCTAACAGCATTACGGCAGATGATTTTACTTGTCAAGGGGAGAGTGTCGGTACTTAATGGGTTAACTGGCCATGGGTCCGGTTAACCCATTGAGTCGCACCCTACTTTATTATTTTACTCTAACACCAGATAATTTTACTTGTCAAGGGGAGAGTGCTTACTGCTGGGCTAGTAAGGGAAAGCAATTAATAAAAGGCCAATCCATGAAATAGCTGAAAGAATATGCTGTCCCATCTATTTTTGATTGATATCAATGATAAATCAATCAGGTTTCTTGGAGAAAACTAGATATAGGCTACTGTGAAGGTTTTTGATGCATACTAGACAAATTAGTCAGTTTCTTCAAAATAGTTTCCATTGAAAACTTTTGCTGTCACTAGTTCTCTTTAAAATTCTGATTGATTCATCACTTTTCACTGTCCAGGCCATATAGATTTGAGATTGCTTGACATCTGCAGCAGCAAGGATGTCATCAAAGTCACACTAAACACTTGTAAACAGAGCATCAGAGTTTTCGCACCAGCAGACCAGGTAAATCAAGCGAAATAGGTTTTAAACTTCAAAATACTTCACAATATTATTCCCTGTTATATATCCCAACCGAGATCCTCGAGAAAAAAAGCACCAAAGAACCAAAACATTTAATTTCTGCAATAAAATGTCTCGAACTGCTCAACCGACCATGTAATGATTTTCAGAAAATATTTAGCGATGAATTATTTCGTCTTTATTCAACTTAAATTGTACAAATATTCATCCAAAACCTTCACACCAGTTAGTTCTTCCCCCAAAAAGGTGGTTGGACGGGATCGGAAACAGTAGGCAGGCGTAAAATGCGAAAAACATGGATTTTCCCTATCTCGCTCTATGATTTTTGACCGGTTGAGCCGCCATTTTAAATGCTCATGTTGGCGCGTGGCGTGCGTTATAGAATACATTACAGTCAGCAATCTAGTTCTCCTATATCTATGGAGGTATCACATCCCCACACCTCCCCTCAAAACCCGACTATTGAAAGCGGATTTACAATGCACAGAATTATGCCAATGTGAAAATATGGAAAGCACAGAACTGATATATAGTGATGTTGATGCGTAAGACAAAAGGAATGGAATGTTGTGCTCGAGCGAGCAGCCGCTCATCGGGAGGAACCTCGACACAAAGAGCAGCTATGTAAAGGAGACAATGCTCCTCAGAATATTTTAAAAATCAAGTGCCCCAGATTGGCTAAAAATGCATTTGCCGTGCAACATTTTTTACATCACTCTATAATCTATACATTTATATGCTATCACACTATGAATGAAGATGCTATGAATGAAGATGTATGGATTTCTGCGCTCATTCTTACAGAACAGGTAACATTCTTTCTATTGGTTACAAATTTTCGGTCCCGTGATCTGATACTTTTTCCACACCTGTACATGGGGACACAAATGCCTTCTCCAGACAGCCGACAGCATCTTTATAGAACTGCGAATGCAAAAAAGCTTGTTAAACAAGAAGATGCTCATGTTTTGAAGCGAATTTGAAGTGCACTGAACTTTGCCAGTGCAGCAATTCTGAGAACAGTGAGATAGATGAAGAGCTAATTGACAATGTCAATGACTTTGATGAGGAGGCAGTGGATTGTGATGACGGGTGAATTTGTGTAGTTTTACACGAAAAGAAAGCTAATGTGCTATTAATTACTCTATAGCGCTGATTCCGTTTATTATTCAAGAGAATTATAAAATCTACGACGAGGTGAAGCTGACCTGTCCTCAATAATATTTATTTGTTTCGCTTATATATTTTTGTCTACCTGTTAGTCTTTGTATGCTTCATGTAACTTTAATTTGTACATATTATTTGTGTAATTAGTTAGTTAACACACCCCTCATGAAAAGCAGCTGATGCTGATGAAGCTAGCGTGTCAAAATAAAGTATTATGTATGTATGTATGTATAGTCATGGTATTAATTATATAGTATTGTTTAAAAATGTATTTTATATATTCACCATTAAGCATTTGATAGTTTTTGGTTTACCATCCAAATATCCAAGTACTACAGTATGTCCATTATTCTGTCTTCAAAATATAAAACTGAAGTTTGTTTCGTCCTTTATTACACACCATAAAGATGAAATATATTGAACACATAAGTTCATAATCTTGAAAGAATGCCTGGTTTTGCTAAATATCTTCGTACAAAGCTAGAAAATACGCTTTGTCGCAATAATATATGAAACTTGAAAATCGTGTTGCTCATTGCTTACATCAGATCTGAATTCACACATCTCAAGAGGAGGCAGTAGTGACCTATCCTGTATAGTTTTCACTATGGCGCGCGAGTGACTGGTTCCAAGAGTACGCTAATGTGCTATTAATTACAAATTTGAGTAATCTAATTTGACTGCAATAAAAATAATTGCTATATTTTCTCTGCTTTAACATTTTGTTGGAAAATTCTTTTTCGCTCTTGTTGAGAATCATTTTGGTCAATGTATTATTTCATAACCTAGAAGATAACGGGTTTAGAGAGTCTGATTTTCTGCAAAATTGGCCAGACAATATTTTCGTATTGATTTCCCGTATGGTCGCGAGAGTGCGACTATACTTTTTTTAAATCAAGCGCTATAAACGCGTTATCGTCTAGGTTTTGATATAAAACATTGACCAAAACAATTTGCAACAAGAGCGAAAAAGAGTTTCCAACAAAAACTTAAAAGCAGAGAAAATATAGCAATTTTTAGTTTTATTGCAGTCAAATTAGATTACTCAAATTTATATACGCGACATAGGGAAACATTTCAAACACGGATATTTTCCGTTCTAGGTCGAAATTTAAAAAATGCCCACTGCAAAGTTTTAGATTTTAATGTGCTGCATCATAATCTTTTGGTTTTAAATTTAAAAGTTAAAATTGAATCTCACGGAAGCCCGAGAAGCCGGCAATATTTTCTAGCTCGCCTTGGTGTAAATTTCTCGTTTCCTGCATTATGATTAGCTGAGAGCGAAAGTGTGAAACAAATGCGCTGATTGGTCGAGCACGAAACCGGCCCTTATTCGACACTCCACCCCCCCTACAAGGGCAGTAGAAAACAATAAATTGTTTCTCCCCAAAGCCAGGACCAACGCAGGAAAACGCAGGTTTTCGTTCCTGGCTCCTTCCTTGTGGAACAGTTTCCAGTCGTGGCAAAGAAACTTACCACGGTTTAGATCGTTCTGTAAAGAACATTTTAAGAACAAACTGTCTAAGATGACTTAAATGAACACAGAAAGATTATATTAATATAAAAACTTTAATTCTGATTGTAAAAATTCTTGAAAGTTATAGATTGTTAATGTCGTGTGATTGTGATGTATCTGTGTATATGTTGTGTGTTTGTGACGTATCTGTGACTGTATATTTTACTTATCTAAAGTATGTTAACTGCATGAATATCGTAACATTCGATGAAATGTATTTCTAGAACTTATATAAGAGGACCAGATTGGAAACAAGCTGTATACTGTATAGCTTAATTTATCTGTATATCGTCGTTAAATAAAGTGTGTTAATAATATTATTATTATTATTAATTCAATAGACAATCAAAAATTTAGTTATGAATCATTTAGACTGTATGATTTATGTACGTGTTAGATACTCTGCCCTCGACCATTGATTTAAACGACCCAAATGTTACAAAAACTGCGCTTCTGTGACCTCCAAATTTTAAAATATTTATTGATATCGGACTGAAATATGTGCATTAATCACATTTGCACAACTAGTCCGATTTCGTAGCTCGAGACATTGAACACTGAACTTAAACGAATATTCAATAAGCCTTTCCTTAGTTGACGAGTGTTTATGCTCAAGCTTGTCTGCCACGCTTCCAAGAAACTGTTGCCATTGGCGTGGAGGTAAAGTGTGTCCTTGTAAAAAAGACTTATTTTAATGCCTGTCGTTATCAGATCTACGTGATACCACTCCACGCGCCCATCCTCAATAGGCCTGATTGGATTCCGATACGTATACCCATCAGCTCAAGATCTTTGTCGGAAAGCACAGCCACTTGGCGTGGCACAAAGAAGTTTTTGGCGTTAAAAAATTTAAATGCAAAAGATTGACGGGCTGGCGGACTGTGTGTGTTTAAGAAATTGTGCACTATAAAAATAATATTGTACACTACTCAAGAGTAGTTATCAATATAATTCTTTATAATATACGTATCCTAAACTTTATTTAATCTAATTAAATTCACTTAATTAATTAGTCGCAGAGCCAGAAGTCCACGAGCAGTGTTCAGATTGTTCATAACAATAAGACACAGATACTACGTGATCAGAGCTACGTGATACCTCTCCACGGCCATCATCAATAGACAATGAGGCAGCTGCACCTGATCAAGACTATATATGGTGAAAAAATGTGAGCATGCATGGAAAGCACCATCCACGACTTTTAAAAACCTGTCATTGTTAATCGCCATTCCCCAGAGCTACGTGTTTTAAAGGAGATGTTGAAGTATAATACAACCCCCCCCCCTAAAATCTCTGTCTATAATACTCGATTAAGATAAAACGAAAAAGAAATGAAAAGACAAAATAATATTGCACACTTCTCAATAGTAGTTATCAATGTAGTTCTTTATAATTTTCGTATCTTAAACTTTATTCAATCTAAAGTCCCTTAATTAATCGCAGAGCCAGAAGTCTGACACTGGACGAAAAATTGGATTTACCACTATAGGAGACACAGAGTAAACTTGAGATAATGCCGCATTTGCTCGTAAATATTAGCAAATGCGGTATTATCTCAAGTTTACTCTGTGTTTCCTATAGTGGTAAATCCAATTTTTCGTGCAGTGTGATCCACGCGAGCAGTGTTCACATTGTTCATAATAATTAGACAAAAATACTACGTGATCTAGGCATTAACATAGCGTGTTTTTTGACACACTTTGTGTCCTTGTAAAAGGAAAATGTGTCCTTGTAAATTGAAAAGTGTTTACTTGGCTTTGGGAATAAAGCCCGGACAATCCATTTCCATGCAGCCACTTCCCTATAAAATACTAATTGTTATCAAAGTAATGAAAATATTATTAGTATATACTAGTATATATATATATATATATATATATATATATATATATATATATATATATATATATATATATATATATATATATATATATATATATATTATTAGTATATAATGAAAATATTATACCAAACATTAGTATCTAATATTCACAGTTATTATCTTCTTAATATAATAATGCATTTCAACTAGTATTTTAAACTTAACATGTTAAGACTTACAGTAACTGATAAGGGTGAAGACACGCCGGGCTACGTGTATGAGGTAGCCCGTGATTTTGACAGGTAGCCCGTAAACCTAAGACGAGAATTACAAGAAATAGTAGCTAGTACACGATCTCATAAGTGCCAGCCCGCCCATGCATAGGGGAAGATTTTCCTCCATAAAGACTCCTTCCTTTGTCGCGGGAAATGAGTTTGACCAAAACTTTTCTCATTTGATATGAATAACTTAGTTATTCATCTACATATTTTAATAGGATTTAAATTTCAGAAGCAATCCACTTTTTTACTACGCCTTGTGGAACACCAATGGGGCAAATATTATTATTACTACCACTAAAATCGCCCGCTCCAAATAGATATTTGGCTTATTATTACTTTGGTGAAAAGAACATATATTATTGAATAAAAAAACACGGATACATGATCCGTCCTAATCATGGAGCGCCATTTTCGATTCCTGAATATGTCTAGTATATTTGAGGATAAACAAAAAATAAGATAATTTTCAAGAAATGACTGTTTGAAAAAGAATCAGAATACATCAAGGAAGTTATAGATATATTATGAAGCCAAAGGAAAATTGAGTCAGAATTCGCTGGACCGTTCTTGCATGCAGACAATGCCTCTTAAGCTTTTTAAATAATTAAAAGTTTATATATGTGCGCTAGGACAATTATAGAGCCAGAACACGCTTAACTGGCATAGTTTTATGTCTTTGATACATTTACCTTGAAAACATATTGTACGGTGCAACAATAAGCGTTATGCACGAATGAGTTGATGTAAAATACAATGTCTGACGTGCGCGTTATAAGCTGCAGCTCAGTCGGTCTTCTTCACTTTTAAATACCACGTCAACAAGCTAGAACTGTGGGTTGGCAATCGGTTGATGGAGCTTTCGGCTGGCCAAGAAGACCGCATTTGGAACGAGACAAGAATGGCTTATATCATTGTCCTGTATATGGATGCGAACACCCTGGATTTAGCAGTTGTCGCGGTTGCAGGCAGCATGTTTACGAAAAGCACCCTTGGTATAAATATTTCGATCAAAAACATATTGTTATTTCTGATACTGTAGACGAAAAAGACAATGTAATCACATCATGATCAAAAACCAAGCATACAATTCCATGTTGTTCTACGGAAAATGATTTGTGTCGTTCCCTTTCGGTCTGGTTACAAAGTACGGCTGGGAGCGGCAAGTCTGAAAAGCAATCACAAATTTTAGTGACAAGGGCTCTCAAGTTTATAACATTTTGTTGTTCTGAAACGGGCGAGGACGAATCGAATGCGACTTCCTCTATAGAAATTATCGATTATTTTCTTGGTTCTTCCAAGTTATTAACGCGGGGATCCTTGATTATCTTCAGGGTACTTGGGAAATTGGAAATTCCGACCTACTAGGTTACAGTACATAACAAGCATATCTGAGCTGATTAGTTTTTCGAAAGTTTAACTCTCTCTCTCCAGCGCCGTACTGCAAAATTTCTCTGTTACTGAAGTTTAGATCAAGAGAGCAAAGAAGTGTTTGTTAAAAGTAGTGAGGTCGCACTGGATATAGAAACACTTGAATTAAGACGGAGTTGGGCAAGCTTAGCCGAATTCCAAACTGTAATACCCTTCCATATACCACGTTATAAGATTATATTGAACGAATGCAAAACAAATCACCTGTTGTTAGCGCAACGAATCTTACATTTGCTACACGTTTCCTAGCCGTATTTATGTTTTTTTTTTAAAGTGAAAGGCTGTAGGCCTATGACTTATCTTCATTTGACCGTTAGCATGTTTGAGAGTGCAAAACGAAAGAAAGGATGGTGGATCAAAACACATTCAAAACTTCCAAAAAGTATGGCTTTGATTCCTTTATTTTGACGAAATAAATTTGGATGTTGTTGACAATTACGTTCGCTATGTTAGACCATTGCTGCAACCCAGGTGCGACTATTTGCTCGTCAATCGTAACGGCATACAATTTAAAAAATTGACAGAAATTTTAGAGTATATAGCCTATATTAGTCTTTATGAAATACGTTCATCCCAAAAGATACTGGCAAATCATTGAAACTGAAAGTGTGCATGCAAATTCTCAATGTAGAGGACCAGAAGATGGTTTCTGAATATCAAAAGCACAGTTCGAATGTCGCCCGAATGCATTGTCAGAAATTGCGTTCTCCAGATGTACAGTAGCTACAATGGGCGAATGTGTATGGAAAAAATATGTGGCTTACACAGAGCAAAAATGGACATTTGCGTTCAACATGAGTTAAAACTAGCACATTGTTCCGACCACGAATCAAAAACTGAAAACGAAACCATCCCATATTCCCATACCACAAACGACGACAGAAAAGGTTTCTGCAGAGAAACGCAAACCCCTCAGATTCAAGAAAGACGAGGATCAATTTATAGAAAGGGGAATTAAAAGATTTGGTGCATGATAGTGCTCAATCGTACGACATCCAGAATATAACTTCCAACCTGGTAGAGAAGCTAGGAAACTTAGACTTCGTGCAATATATATTCAACAAAAACTTATCTAGTGTATTTCACTGTACCTTGTAAACAATTTTGCTTTGTGAACAGTTGAATAAAATTTGTGAAGTTATATTCCTTATTTGTTTGTTTCTTAACCGATTCCACGCAAAACTAAATACATTCTCGCTTGCCTTATTTTCTATTCCTGCGACTATATAACATGTATAATACATTTTATCATTATCTGGTGCCGAAACTAAACAAAACCACTGTTGCGTTTTTCATACGTACGTATACGCACGTAAAACTTTAAATCCGTTTAAATGTTACTTATGAAATAACCAAATAAATAAAGCAACAGAATTTAGTGTTCCGCAAGTTTTAGTATGCATTTGTTAACTTATTTGTACAATATTTAAAAAATAGAAGGATTCAAAGTTTTACGTGCGTGTACGTGCGTACGAATAACGCAACAGTGGAAATCAGCCTTAAGGAATAGACACATGTTGAACTTTCATGTGTGTAAAACAGACTAAAAAATAGTTGTATATTTAGTAATTCAAGTAGGAAAACTTTTTAATCCTATAGTTTATATATACTTGTTGGACATTACATGTCAAATTAGCTTATCACTACTATTTTAATCAATTTTAACATTTATATTAGTAGGCCTAATACGTAAATTTATATACAATTCAGCCATTTTGGCTGCAATGATATATCTTAATAAACTATCTATCTATCAATCTATCTGACTATCTTTGTTTTGAAAATAGTCAATAAGTCTATAATTTCTGAATCATGTTGAAGCATAAAGTTTCCACAAACCGCAAATTCATTTAAGGTATAATCTCTTTTATATACAACAGCGCAATTCTCGTGAATATATATATATATATATATATATATATATATATATATATATATATATATATATATATATATATATATATACTATTAGCCTATGTTGAGTTAACGAGCTTGGAAGACCCCAGGCTTCATGGAGAACAACACAATATATTACTGCTCTTCACTATGTTATAATAGTTAGTATATAAAGAATAATCGCTTAAAACTGAACAAAATATATGTAAATGATAATGATAATAATAATAAGAAGAAGAATGAAAGAATATTAACTTGAAAAAATAATGACAGAAAAAATAATAACATTTTCAGGTTTTGGCCGTCCGTCTATATGATTCTTTGCCCACTTTAATTAGGTACTGCATTGTAAAATTATTGCAACTACATATTTAGCAACTCAATTCAATATTTTATATAAACCCTGTTCAGACATCAGTTAAATAATCGACCTAAATCTTGTGCAGCAATTTGAAAAATACAAATTACGAGAAAAAATTACTACACTTTCGAAGAGAAAAGCATCTCAAAATTAATTTAATTTCTTTATAAAAATTAACTTATGCTTATACAACTTGGCCGATATATATTGTGAAGATTAGGAAAATTATATAGCAATACCACTGTTATAGTCAGAATCATAAATATATATGTTCGAATAAATAAATGAACGAATGGTTAACTTAATGAATAAAATATGAATCAAGATACATAAAAAAGATCTTTTTAAACTAACTTTAATTTTACACTCACTCATATTTGTAAACGGAAATGACTTGAACATCTGTCCTTGTCTCTTTTCGTCCAGGTCAGCAAATTAGCTGACTTTTCAACTCACAGGCTTCGTGTTTATATAACCATAAGTGGTCAAGTATTTGCCCACTTAATTATTATAACTACCGCATTTTTGCTGTTAAAATTGGGATGTTGCTCGTGATGTTTGGAAATTTGCCAAATTGGACTCTCCGCGGCGGCTCGCCCAATTTTGGCAAAATTTCCAAACATCACTCGTACTATTAATGAACAATTATTCGCCGAAGGCGAGGTGACTATCGGGGAATATTCGCCGAGACAAAGTCGAGGTGAATATTCC